GCGAAACTGTTCAGTGATTTGTATTTAAATTGCTGCCATTGCTTTTAATTGTTAAGCACTTTGGTAACAGCTGCTGTTTTTAAATGTGCTTCATAAATAAATTTGACTTGACTTGCTGCATTTCCATGGTTCCGACCAGTAGTTCTGAACAGCAGGGGGCGCGCTGCTCTGTCTGCAGCTCAAAATCTCAACTGAAAACGTAGAAGAAGAAAAAGTCACGTGATTTTTGTTACAGTGCGCAAATGCGCATCAAGCGGTTCGAGTCTGTGGCGAAACGCGACCAAACTCACAAAACCAGGGTGGAAAACGGAAATTTGGAGCGGAAAAGCAAACGGCACGATCGGGTCAAGGTCTGCGACACGGCAGGTAAGGTGGGAAACCGGGACACGGGGCGGGAGTGTGCGTTAGCCGAGCCGCTGTGACACCGGGGCGGAGCGGCAGGCCCGTCGTAGCTCCCCGCGCTCACAGGCTCCTCCACCAAACTCCGCGTAAAAAACGGCTAAATGAAGACAAACGGGACCGTAAGAAACCACGAGTCAAACGATGGGAGGGTTTTGAGTTTTATTTGGAAATGTCTTGGCTTCCGTCTCAAACCGTTACTCGCACACCCACAGGCAGTCATCCAGACGGATCACGGTCCAGTTTCTGCTGGGGTTCTAGTAGATTCTCTAGTTTGAGTCAGAGCAGGTCAAATGCAACAAAATGAAAGTAGTGCCGAAGTTTCGCGACAATACCCGAGATTCGGACAGAAGTTTCGGAGAACACGCAAAGTTCAGCTGCTGCAGGTTTTGACCAATGAAACCAAATCTCTCTGTTCTTGAACCGAGTCCGATGGACTGGTCTCTGTCTTAACTAATCCAACAGCTGGTTAAGGAAGTGAAGACGTGGCTCTTAATAACGGGCGCACTGGCTGATTGAAGGAAAAATAAAACCGGAACCAATGACGTCAGATCACAGAAGACTAATTAAAGGAGCGCTGTTTTTTGTTGACCAGACCACATTAGACCTGGAACTAGCTAAGACCACATCACAAACTGGTCTGATCTGGACTAGATGATTCTTCACTCCAGGTCCTCGTGTATGAACGGTGTATATGCTCAAAAAGTTTGTGCACTCCAGGTTCCATGCACGGTGCCTCGGTTGGTAGAGCTGTTGCCTCTCAACGAGAAGTTCGTCGGATCAAATCCTGGCCGGGGGCCTTTCTGGGTGGATCGAACAAGGTCGTCAGGTCCTCTGGACGGATTATTCTTGTTGAAACGTTTCGTCTTTAATCCAAAAGACTTCAGTTTGAGGAGCTGCAACAAACTCAGTCTTATAAACTAATAGTCTGTCAGTTCCTAGTCCGTTCTAATAGTCGGTTGGACAAACTACTCACACTAGGACTAAGCCCCTTCCTGTGCAACTGGGTCCTGGATTTCTTAACCAACAGACCACAGTCTGTGAGGATCCACAACTTCTCCTCCTCCACCGTAATCTTCAGCACTGGCTCACTTCAGGGCTGCGTGTTGAGCCCCCTCCTGTTCACTCTGCTCACGTATGACTGTGCAGTGTGCACCTACCCATACAGCAGGGATGAAATACATCACAAACAATGATGAGTCCAGCTACAGGCGGAACACCTGGAGAGCTGGTGCAGGAAGAAATACCCCCACATCAATGTGAAGAAGATGAAGGGGATGATTGTGGCTTTCAAACGGAGCAAACACACCTACCCCCACCCACACATAGGAGGATTTGCAGTGGAAGTGGTCTCCAGCTACAAGTACTTGGGTGTGCACCTGAATGACAACCTCAGCTGGAGCAACAACACCACCAGCCTGATCAAGAAAGCTCATCAGAGACTCTACTTCCTCAGGCGGCTGAAACGAGCTGGTCTGGGAAGCTCAGTCCTCACCTCCTTCTACAGGTGTGCAGTGGAGAGCATCCTGTGCTCCAGCATCAGCGTGTGGCATGGAGGCTGCACAGCTGCAGAAAGAAAAGCTTTGCAGAGAGTGGTGAAGGCTGCACAGAAGATGTTGGAGTCAGTCTCCCCACCATCACAGACATCTACACCTCCAGATGCAGGAAGAGGGGCACCTGCATCTTGAAGGACCCCACTCACCCAGCACACACACTTTTTGCCTCGCTCCCCTCAGGAAGGAGGTTGAGGAGCATGAAGTGTAGAACCACAAGACTGAGGAATAGGAATGCGTGATATAAACGGTACACGGTAGAAACGATAAAAATTTAGCCTACGATAGAGATCTGTCTTCTACCAGCAAACCGCAGTAATGCTGTGTCTGAAGTAAAATCAGAGTTGTCAGTTTAATCGTTACTTTTGTTTGTTGAAAACTGTGCAAAAGTGGCGTTAGTCTTTTCTTCGAGAGCTAAGTGGCGAAGCTACAAGCTAACTACAGCCGGCTTGCCATAGTGTTGCCGTATTCTGACGCATGCGCAAAACGCTGTGTTCCGTCGAAAGGTTTTTTTTCGGTCGAAAGTTAAAGTAAGTGTTTGTCATCTTTAGAGAAACCTGCTCTCTGATCTATGAAAAGAACGCTGTGTTGTGTGATTTTACTGTGAGACCCTCTGGTCAAAGCCACAGTCTCATTTTGTGTCAGCCCTTCATTAAAGCAGAAGGAGTCGCCAACTAGAGGTTTGGAGGGTGAAATGTTTCAGTGTAAAATGCTGCTCTGTTGCTGTTCATTTATAAAGTGAGAAGACTGGAAACTGTTAAGAGTTAATAACATATTATTTTGTTTTTAAACATATGGCTAAAACTACATTTGATATCTTTTGCACTGTTTTGCACAAGCAAGAAGCCTAATACTTGATTTGTTTATTGTTTAAAAACTCTCTGGACCTAGTAGTGGAATTTTCTTAATTCAAAACATATGATGGCAAAAGAACACCCTATGCTTTTTTTTTTAAGCAAGTTTTGTACCAAAAACATATCACGATATATATCGTTATCGCCACCCTTCACAATACATATCGTGATATGAATTTTATGCCATGTCGCACATTCCTACTGAGGAACAGCTTCTACCCTGAGGCTGTTAGACTCATGAATCTCTAACCAGAATAATCACTGTAATGACACTTTAATTGGAGATTTGTCACTTTATTTGTGCTGCTGATTATCCATGCTGCTGATTTCTTGCCTTTTAAGCTGCTGTATTCATACCCATCTGCTTACAACAGACTCATGTTCAGGCTGCTGCTTAATACATTGTATTATATTATTACAGTTTAGTGTATATCTTAGATACTTGTATACTTTTTCTTTTTTATACTTTATAGTTTTGCTATTTTGGGGTGTAACTGGGACCTTGAGTACACAATTTTGTTGCACCTCATGTACCACATGAGAGGAGAATGACAATAAAGGACCTTGAACCTTATAAATAGCCCCTTCTCACAGTGGATCAAACTGTTTGTTGTTGACATCTAGAACTAGCTGTTCACATGATAAAGGAGGACCATCAGCCTAACAATGGATCATTAGCACACTGATGGCTGTTTACTATTCACAGAGGGTTGAGTGATACTAGCAACAACAGCATTGTAAGAGGGGACAGTTGAACATGGAGGCCTCCTCCCCTGTTTAATGATGGACAGTTTCTCTTCACAAAGATGGCCTCCTTAGAACATTTTTAAGGTACTGGTTTATATAAATTTTCAATACATTAAAAAGGCACGTTTTAACAGCAGTGTTCTCCTAACAACTAAAGTATTTCTAATAACATAATCTAGGGATGCACAGATCCACATTTAACTTACAATCCCAATATCTAAATCTGGATATCTGCTGATACGATACTATTCCAATATCATCATCATTATTGATTTCATATGAGTCTGTAATAATCTCCTCTCTACAGGCAAGTACAATTTGTACAAATACTGTATATGCATTCATGTCCAAAACGGCAGCTTGAGTTAAGTTTTATTAATGTTGGCTAAGTTTCAAAGTTAGAATTAGGGCTGCAACTAATGACCCTTTCCAATAATTGATTAATCGGCCGATCAATTTTTCGATTGATCGGGGGGGAAAAACTCAAATGTTTTAATTTCCACCTCTTTATTCCAAAATTTGACTGACAGCAAATCGCACAAAAACAGGTTGCTACTTGACTATTCTGTCAGTAAAAACCTAATAAGTTTGTCAAATAGCTTCAATAAAAAAAATAAATGTACACACGAGTGTGTGTGTGTATGTATATATATTTGTTTGTATGTATGTATGTATGTATATATGTATATATATATATATATTATATAT